TTTTTATATATATATATATCTGTTTAATTCTTAATTTTTTTTCTTAATTCAAATTGTTACTCACTGAAGTCAAAATATTCATATGATTTCTCCTAGAAAAATTTATTAATATATATTTTCAACCATTTCCTAACCAAATTTTTTCAATTCAAATTGAAATTTTGCAATATAAAAATTGGTTTAAAATAAATGAAGACAGTCCAAAATGCTGTTATAGTTAATTTTTAAGTTATCCATTATTGTTTTTATTAAAATCAATTTACGTTCATATATATATATATATTGATATATATATTCACATTATACGCATTTAGTTTACGTTTCATATTTGAATTTTGGTTTTAATTTAAATTTAAAAAAAAATATTTATTTTTTTCTATATTTTATTTTAAAAATATATTTCGAAAAAAAAAAAAAATATCATCTTCAGGGTTTTATGATTAAAGATATTAAATTTAAATTGAAATATCAAAAGGTTCTTAAAATTAAAAAATATATCCTATAAAAAATGGGAGAAGGACAAATTAATTAGATTTAAATTTATAGAATGATAAAATAAATATTTAAAATATTGTCTGAATAAATAAGAATAATATCATTCAAGAGTTTTTAAATATTAATTTTTTTTCTCTGCCAATTTAATTTTAGAAGAATTTATTTTAAATTTTATAATAATATAATTTTTTCAAAGATTAATTTATTAATCCAAAATCTTATAAATTTAAAATATATATATATATATTTTTTTTATATATATAATATATTTTTTAAATTAAAAATAAAATATTTTCAAAATATTTTCAGAGAAAAGATTTTTTTTCCACTTTCAAAGAGAATTAAGGAAAAAAATTTAAATTTCAATAAAACTAATAAATTTTTTTATTTTTTTAAGAAATTTTTATCTTTAGATTTTAATTTTTTTCTTTATTTTTTTATTTTTTTTTTTTTTTTAAGATAAATAAATTTTTTTTTTTTTTATTTTTTTTTTTTCTACATTTATTTTTGATTTCAATTCGAAATATAAAAATTTCAATAATGGACGAATTATTTTTTTCAAACACCTTCATTTTTTAAATTGCTAACATTTTATTTTTCATCAAAAAAGTCCGAAATTTGCAGTATTTCCATTTTGTTCCAAAGCAATTGATTTAAACAAGGTGAATTTTCTAAAAAACTTAACTTCCTTGAAGCTGAATTATGTTTTATAACCTTGAATGGCCGATGTGGTTAAATGCAATATTTTTTTTTTTTATCATTTTCCATATTGGTGTCTCTTTTCCATAATTTTTTTCTATATTGATAGTAAAAATATTTTTTTTTTTAGAATATTTCAAAAGGTTTCCAATAACCATAAAAAATTCAGAAGAAAAATCATACGAATCCATCATAAATAATTCATTAAAATGGGTCGTCAAAATATTTTTGAATAAGGTTTTAATTGTATAACAAACTCCTTTATTTTTTTTCTTGGTTTTAATTTATATAAAATTTTCAAAACAAATAACTCAAAAATATTCTTTAAAAAAAAATAAATAAACATATTGCCAAATTAGAAATTTTAAAAACTTAAAATAATTTATCAAATTTTTTTGTTTTTTTTATTTTATTTTTTTTATCAAAATAGATATCTATTTATTTATTTCTAATGTATATTTATAAAAATTTTTAAACATCATATTTTTGTAAATATATAAATATATATAATAATATATATTTAATATATTGCCTACTGTAGTTTTCAATTTTGAATTTTTTAATTTTTTTTGTTTTTATCATCATTTTTTTATAATTAAAAACATATAATCAATAATTTTATTATTTAGTGTTTTTTTGTTTCTTGTTAACAAGTTTTTTTCCCAATATTAAAAATTTACAAAAATCAAGCTGGTAAATCATTTTTTTCCCTTTAAAAATTTTTAATATTTTAATTTTTAAATTTTTAACAATTTTATATGATGTTATTATTTTTTATATATTTTGAAAAATTTTCAATGCTGTTTATGTAAAAATAAGTAAAATTATTTTTTTTAAAATAAATAGGTTTTTATTTTTTATATTTTTTTAAAAAAATAAATGAAAAAAAATTATATAAAATATAATTTTGTGAATTTTAATGTTTTGTTTTATTTTTGGATTTTTTTTTAATTTTTAGCTGGGACCCTAATATTTTTCAAAAAATAAGGTTAAATTGATGAAAAAAAAAAGAAAAAAAGTAAAAAAAAATTTTAAAATTTTGTTAAAGCTTTTCAAGCTGATTAATTTAAATTGGAAACTTTTTAAAGTTCATTCTCTTTTTTTTTTTCCTGGAATTTTTTATTTTGAAATAATCAATTTTTAAATTTCGATTAATTTTTCTTATATATATTTATATAATTTCAGTAAATATTTAAAAATTTTGTAATTTTTACACATGAACACATGTACACATTATTTAACATAATAAAATTTAAATTTTTTTTTTTATATTTATATAAATAAATAGAATATTTTCTTTATTTTATAACCATCTTTAACCAATACTAAATTAATATTTATCTTAAAACATCCAGATTTAATCTTCAAATTTTTTTTTTTATTAGTTCAATAAAGAACTAGTTATTTTAAAAATTCAACCAAAATAAAAAATTCCGAAGGAATATTGTTGAAAGGATTTTATGTTTTTAAGCATTTTGAACTTTAGACAATTTAAACATTTGCTTTCGGTTTAACTTTGAATTTTTAAATTTAAAAAATAAAATTTTATTATTTAAATATATATATTTCAAATTTTTTTATATATTTAAATAAAAGAAATTATTTTTTTCTTAATTGTTCAAAATGTGTTCATGTTGTGAAATTAGATGTTTGATTTTTTGTTGAAAAAATGAAAAAAATTTTTTAAAAATTATATTTGTTATGATATATATATTTTTTTATAAAATTTATATATGTTATGAAAATAAATCTGAATGTTATTTAAATCAATAAATTTATTTGTTTTTTTTTTTTTGTTATTTAAGTGTTTTTTATTTTTTTTTAAAAAAAAATTTTTAAATTTTAACTAAATATATATATATATATATATATATATATATATATATATATAAATAATTCATTCTATTTTTTTTTTCAAAAATGTATTTTTCGTAAAATTTAATTGGAAAATCTCATTATTTCATAAAACAATTCTAAAATAATAAAAAAAAATTTTATGTTTCTTTAGGATTGAAAAGTTCATTAAAATTCTATAAATTTCTGTTGCATTTATTTCTTATTTTTTTTTATACATTCAACATTCCTACAGACATCTTCAGGTATGGAATAGATTTTGTTCTTGTTTTTTTCTCAGTAATAAAAAAATCAACGAAAATATATTTCTGTTGTATCCAAAAATGCTATTATTTTATGAAACATTGATTGTTTTTTTATGAAAAATTTAATTTATGAGTTTAAATTTCTTAAATTTTTTAAATTTTTAAATTTATATTTAAGGGAAAAATTGGTGATAAACAATTTTTTTTTACTGGTAATTTTTCTGTCAAAGTTACATAAAATTTATTGTTCAATAATTACAGTTTTTTCGATTGAAATATTATCAATATATATATTTTATATATATATATTTTAATTTATAATAAAGGTATAATTAATTTATAAATTCAATTCATGAATTATTCATACAAAAAACAAATACAAAGGTTAATGATTTAATTGGCGAAAATCCATCGTCGCAAACAATTCAAATAATATACAAAAAAAAAAAACCTGTTTATGAATGAAAAGATCCTTGTTTTATAAATTTCTGTTGCATGAGTTCTTATTATTTTAACAAGCTTTCATCTGTTCCTTTTACATCCTCAGAGTATGGAATAGATTTTGTTCTTGTTTTTTCTTTATTTATATCATGCTGGTTCTTTTTTTTTGCGGGGGGGGGACTAAATTTTATTTACTAAACAATGACATGATTCTGAATTTTATGTTTTTATGTTGTTTAGTTCCTTATAAAATAGTGATTGAAAAATCAGCTTAGCTTAGCTTAATTGATTGTTTGTAACAACTATTTTATGATCTAATCAAAAATTATCAGTACACAAGCCTTGATCACTTCACTGATGGAAACTCTCTGCTGAACTGTTAGATAATATCAGTCCTCCTATATGGGAGTGAATGCTGGGCAATCTCCTCACAGATGAACAGGAGACTTGAAGCTGCAGAAATGGTGTAAATTCTAAAAAATGCTGAGAATTTATGGACTAAATATTCATATTTTATTTTAAAAAAGGTTTAGAAAAGCAAAAAGACACACATATATATCCACAGAAGGAGGCAGTTGAAATTTGTAGGGCACATAATGAGGAAAGAGGGCTTGGAAATTTCATACTCACAAGACAGATTGAAGGCAGGAGGGACAGAGGAAAGCAAATCATAACCTACCTAATGAGCTTGAGTAAATGGATAAATTTTTATTTTTTTTAAAGAAATAAGGAAAAAAATTAAAATTTTATTGTGTTTACAAAAATGGATTCACAAAATTTTGAAATATCCTGAAAGATTATGGCACATAAAAGAACATTAGAATTTTTATTCTTAAACAGTATATTGAACATAAGTTTTTGGTAAAATTATTCCAGATTCTGTTTTCTTAGTGAGCCATGTAGAAATTAGATGAAATGTTATGTAAACTTATTGCATTCTGCCTTGTGATATGTTCAAAGTTGAATTTCCTGGTAAAGACAATTGCATGAGACTAAAGATGATTTAAACTTTGTATTCTTTAAATTTCTTTAAAAATTCATTTTTATATTTGATTTAAACCAATTATAGAAACTGATTAATATTTGTCTTTTTAAAAATCATAGTAAAAAAAAATGTGTTATTTCTGGAATTTGTGGGAATAATCACACAGGTAATCAATTCTAAGTTATTTCTTGGTTCTTATATAGATTTGATTATTCACCCGATTTGCATTTTCTCCTTTTTGTGGTGTTTACTCTCTGTGACTGTTTTCTTTCCTTTCTCAGATTCAAAACGTGTCTCAAGACAAACAAGAAACAAGAAAGAAATGGCACATGTCTCCAGCATTATCTTTAGAGTTCATCAGTTATTACCTTGGTAAATTCTTAAATCATTTATTTATTTACTTATTTTGCAATAGAAACATTTAATAAACTTTCATTAGACTTGCAGTTGAACATCTGTCTACAGGTTGCAATGGATAAATTGTTGTCTAAATTAGGAAAAAATGAAAATAACACTGACATCTCCTTTTAACAGATATATTTACAAAAATTACACAAAAATATCTTAAAATACTAAAGAGTAAATTTATTCAATAAAATCACCATTAACTTCACCCACTGCCTCCAGATGACTTCAGAATCTCCAGCAACTCTTCTGGACAGTATCCTTGTTTAAGATGGTGAATGTGGTCAAAAACCTTTGTCTTCAGTTTATCTTTGGTGTTACAAGGAGTTTTGTTGGTTTCTCAAATTAACTGAGACCCACACATAATAATCAAGGGGGTTGCAGTCTAGGGATTTAGGTGGCCAGTTGTAAGGAGTGATGTGGCCACATAAATTGTCTGACAACCATGACTGGGTTCTCCTGTTTAAGTGGCATGGTGCAGAGTCCTGTTGCCAAAGTATTTTCCACCAGCCACCCTCTACCTCCTCAAGACACTTGATGTAGGCCTCCACGTTCTGTCTGAGACTCTGTGGGAAGATGAATGAAAGATTAACATCGCCATCTCTATTAATCACTTCAAACACTTTTAGACTCATCCAACTCTTTCCGAATCCTCTGCCCTGTCCTCAGATTAACACCCAAACACTCTGAAATGTTTGTATTGGAGTTTCTGATGTGAATGCTAAGCTATACAGCATGCTGTTTCCAAATTTCTGGCAAAGTGAATTACGGTATAGTACTCTTTTTTTTTTTTTTTTTTTTTTTTTTTTCAGATGGTGCCCAACTGACCCTACTAGTTGACAAAATCAAAAACAAACAATACACATGTGCAAAATTAAAAATATAAAATGGCAACAATTTACCTAGTGCATCCTGTATATTTCCGAGATGAGATTGTAACTATTTACACTATTTAGATTGTTGTCCTCATCTTTATTGTCATATTCACAATATTTCAGCCATTGTACACTCCCACCTTCTTTGGGTGATATATGTTGGAATTTCAAAGCAAACCCTTTATTTTGCTCACCAAGGTAGATTGTACTAGTTCCACATGCCATGCCTTTTCTGAATATCTCAGTTTCAGTTATTTCCCTTTAGTAACTCAACTCTCCAAGTTTTTGTTCACCACTGCCTGTGGCCAGGTATTGAACTCACTCATTCTTTGGGTCAATTCAACCAACACTTTTATCCTCTGGGCCAACATATATCTCCTTAAGAAGGCGGAAGTGTACATGGCAGAAACATCACAAATATGACAATAAAGATTAGAACAACAGTCTAAACATATAAATAGATTTGCCATTGCATAGCATAATGTTATTGGTATGATTTTTCATTAGACCAACATCAGATTTTAGCTTGAGAATTTTAAAATATTTAATTATTGTCTTGCTATTGTAATCTTCTTAATTGTTTCTTTAAAAAAGAATATGTTCCTGAATTGATTTGCATTTGTATGTAAGTAACACTTTTTTACATCACTGGAAAAATTCACTACATTGATGTGCACTTCCCCCATCTCTTTCTTTACTGGACTCGTCTGATGAATTATTAGAAATATAATTTCATGTCCTTTCATAATTTGTTTATTTCTTAAGTAATGTTTACCCTTCAATTGAATTGTACTTATAAAATACTAGCAGTAGAATCCGGCGTTGCCTGGGGATGTAACAGTAAGAGATAGATCAAGTATCGACCATCATAAAGACTGAAAAATAAAATTGACAAAGATTATTGTTTAAGGTTGACGGACACGCATGTCTTAATTAGTTTTTTTTTTTTTTTTTTTTTTTTTTTTTAATTGGTCAAACTCAAACTCAAACATTGTTTTCAATCGTTATGAGTCTACCAATTGAATAGAATTTTATTATAAACAATTGTCTTGTAAATGGAATTTTTAAAGCATTCTGAATGTAAAAATAAAGAAAAAAGTGTGCAAGACAATAAGAAACACTACCTGCCAAAAAAAAAAAAAACTTCGTGAAGTTTTGTTGAAATTGGTTGAAAAATGTAGGAAATCTGATCCCATATATAAAGGAACACACACACACACACAAAAAAACCAACCTGGGTTTTATAATAAGTATAACTCAATATGAGTTGTCCCCTTTCATTAATGCCTCTTAATCTTGTTTTTTCAAATTGATTTCGTGCAAAAACAATTGTTTTTTCCAATTTTTAGCGCTTTTCTTCAGAACCAACGCAAAAGGTAATTTTACGTAGTCCTGTGAAGTTTTGTTGAAATCGGTTGAAAAATGTAGGAAATCCGATCCAATATATAAACGTACAGACACACACACACAATCTGCGTTTTATAATAAGTAAGATCATGTTGAAACACTGGTTCCTATACAATCTCCAAAGTTAAGCAACGTTGAGCCTGGTCAGTACCTAGATGGGTGACTACTTGGGTATACCAGGTGCTGGATGTATGTGTCGTGTAATAAATAATGGCTTGGAATTGTTAATTGGAGAGCCAAGTTCCAATTCTAGTTAAATTTGTTATATTCACTTATGTGCAAATACCCTTGGGGAAGGTATGAATTCACCTCTTCCCCTCCAGCTATGGGTTAATTAGTAAGACTCGTATCACTAAATCATTAATATCTACCCTTGTTACAATCTAAAAAGAAAAAAAAATTTCTGGCTTTAAATAACCTGTAAAAGGTTAAGCTGTAGAAAGTGAATCGATCAATCAATAAATTTTTAAACTTTCTAAAAATGTAAATTGACATCATTTCTTGACAGCTTGTGTAAACGTGTGTTAGTAGAACATAGAATAGCATCTGGGATAAAGGGGCAGAGAGGAAAAGCTTTTTTTTTTTTAATGACAACACATTTCACTCTCGTGCTAAGGTTGGCATCTTCAAGTGAGAATGAAAGGCAAAACTTTGTATTTCGTATTAAAACCATTAATGCCTATTTTTTTTTTTTTATTGGAAGAATTAGGAACAGAAACAATGAGCAAGAAGTGAAAAGAGTAATTAAGAGGACAAGCGATAGCGATTGACATTGCATTTAAATTTTTGAAGATTAAATTTGGTGGGAAAGCATGAAACCAGAAGGGAGTTCCACAAGCAAGAAGTGCAAGAAAAGAAACTGTTAGCATAGAATTTACAGTTACGTCTAGCCAGCTCAGCTGTAAATTGATGAGATCTCGAGACCAGTTTAGTACTGTTTAAATTATAAAAATCTAGGTACCATAGCGAAGAGCTCATCCAAACGATTACCATAAAAGTATTTATAGAAAAGGCACAGGGAGGCAACCTTATGACAGTGGGAAAGTGACTGGAGCCAACCTGCCAGATCAGGACCGATAATATTGTTGATTCTTCTTTGGAGTTTATCAAGGAGCTTGCGGTAAAGAGCAGGGGCACCGGATCATATGTGGCAGCAATATTCTAAGCATGGAAAAATTGTAGACTTATAGATATGTATGTTAGATTCTAGAGAGAAAAATTGTCTTGCACAACATGGTGAACCAACTTTCTTAGCAGCTGACTTAGCAATGGATTTGGATTAGAAATTAGTTCAGTAGAAGTCACCAACCTAACAGACACTAATGGTTTTAATAAAAAAAAAATCAGTTTGGTCTTTTATTCTGACCTGAAGACATTAATCTACAAAATGAAGATGATACACTGTCATTAAAAAAGTTTTTTGTATTTTTGTGTGTGTGTGTTTGCATATAATGTGGATGAGTGTTTGCATAGCTGAATGGTGAAAGTATTAGCATTGTGACTATGCAACCCAGGTTGAAATCTCACCATGGAGATGATCCCTGTTGGGTAGATATAACTGTTTGAAAGCTTTTCAATGGTTGTGCTTGCTCAAAACTGATGGTTTGCATGAGTTGGCCTTGTTTAAAATAATTGATCACAACACATTATGCACTCACTCCCAGAAACCATGACTAAGGTCCACTCAGCCTGTTTGCAGATATAAATTTTCAGGTTGGATCTGGGTGTTGAAGAAATACAAATGTCCCTGAGTGGGTGTCTGCAACAGGGATTAGCTAGCCACTCTAGCATACTTGCAAATGAATTTTAAATGATTCTCATATAGTGATTTTCCAAGGTTAGCTTAGATGTAATAATTGCCTGTATTAGGGGCACCCAGTGAGGATCGAATAGAACTACTGAGTTATTTATAGAAAAATTCTAGTGAGCCAAGCTTGCTAACCATTACACAGAAATTGAGGTGCCCCAAAAATTTTTCAAGTGAAGTTTAGATGTAGCACAAGGATTCGAAAGCATGAGGGCATCCATGAGGATCAAAATCACTTTTCAGTAGTAATTGATCTAGCAAATTTGAAAACAATTCATTACACCACGTTTGGTGCTTTATCAAAATTCTCATATATATATATATATATATATATATATATATATATATATATATATATATATATAAAAAAATCAAGGAGGTTGTAGTGGTTCCAATAAGAAAAGAGGTTTTTAAATGTTTTTGGTTGTAATGCTTTTTTTTTTTTTTTTTTTTTTTAGGAAAAATATTATGCTTTTATTTTACATAATTTTACATATATAATTTCAGTTTTATAAAACAATACCTACAATGTGTGTCTGTCCAACATTTTATTTACATTTTGTAACGTCTGATTAAGTTGTTTTGTCTGAGAATTAACTGAAATAAATATGGATAGAATAAAAGAACTTTGAAAACTTAATTCTGACATAAAACAACTTTTTGTCTGAACTTCTGGTTATCACTATTTGCACTATTCTTTATGTTCAGCCATTTTATATATATATATATATATATATATATATATATATATATATATATATATATATATAACTGAAATGTAATGATAACAACAACAAAAGATGACACCAAGAGTTTGAATATAAAAAAATAGTGCAAATAACTAAATAACTCCTCATCCCAGAAATATCATTTCTAAAGAAGAAATAGATTCTTATTAATTAAACATTTTTCTCATTTTAAATGTTATTTTTAGTGGATATCCATATTTAAGTATATGCTCTGCTTATTTTTGGGGCAGTATATTTATTTTCATCTACCAGCCTGGATATTTGAGAAATCTTTATTTATATATATATATATATATATATAATTTTTCTTCTCTTCCTCATTGCTGAGAGTTAGGAACTATGGATAGTTGTCCTCTCATACTGGTTGCCAATCACAGCTAGAGAGCCCAGTCATCCCTGCTATTTAACCCATAGCTAGAGGGAGAAGAGACATATACCTTTTCCAAGGTTATTTGTGCATACGTAAATCTAATAAACTTGACTGGAATTCAAATTCAGCTCTCTAATTTTCTTATTTCAAGTCACTATCCATTACACTACCTGCGCATCTTAATTGGGGAAAATGTGATTTCATTGGGTCCCAAATCATTCTCCAACCATTACTCGAAAGCTGCCTACAGTTCATCCATCATCATCACTTGGATGAAGCTACTTGAAAGGTTTTCTTCAAGATAACTGTGTGCATATTGTGTATTTGGGCAGCAATTCCTCTTTTACACAAGTTTCATTAAAAACAACTGACAAGAGACTGCAGTTAAGCTTTTTATTTAATTTTTCTTTCTGTTCTTATCTACTTTTCTGGACAAAAAAAGATGAAAATTATCAGTTGTTTTTAATGAAACTTGAGAGAGAGATTTTTCATTTATGGTCTATTTTATTTGTGTTTTTAGTATGCTTTTATACTTTTAATTATAAAGTTAAACTCTTTTATTTATTTATTTTTTTTACCTATTAACCTACTGTCTCTTTTGTGTTTAGATCGGAATGCACGGATGGACACAATGAAAATCAACATGAAAGAACTTTCATCTCAAAATGACAAACTTCAAGAACAGCAAAAGGTACTCAGGGTTCAATATGATCAGGTAATTGGTCACTTATTCTTAAATATCAGGCATTAATTATTTCTTTAAGTTGTATATTATTATCTATATACAAAAGAATACAAAAAACTGGCAGTAAATTGTTGCTAATATTAATTTTTTTTTCATTCTCTTTATACGAATAGAATAGAGATGTGATTTGATAAAATAATTCTATTTCTCAAATGTTTTCTGTAGCAAACCTCTAATAGAATAGTTTTGCTCCAATGTATTTGCTTAATGAGACTTAAAATAAAAAGCTGGATTTCTGGAGTATACAGCAAAAATTAAACTCTTTTTGAAGGATTTGAGAAATCTGAGTGTCCTTGAAGTTTACTGATTTCTTTTTTGTGCGATCAATCAACCATAGTATGTTGTTTACAAATGTCAGGGAGTACTGGTTATGACGATAAACTACATATGGCAATAAGGCCTCCGATTGGGAAATTAGATGTTTTGAGGAGGGTGGAACCACCTTTTAATTGCTGGTGTCTTCAGGTACAGCATGACCCAGGGTGGTAGCACCTGTTATGCTCGCAGCTATAGGTAAATAGTGAATCCCCAAACAAAAACACTATGAAAATATAAAAATATATTTTTATATAAAAAAATATGCCAACAATACATTTTATAGCAAAATGACATTTTTATCTGGAGTTGAAGGCATACAACTGTGTTCAAAATATTTAGATTTCAGCATTAAATAACCTGTAGAGCTTGATATGCCACTAAACAAAATCGAACAACGAACATGAAAGAACTCTTTCATGATATTAATCCATATAATATCCTACACTTTCTAAAAGAAATCACACTGTATTCCAAAATATGACTTCAACAAAACAACAACATAAAACACACACATCACTGTAGAATAACAATTGTATTGGAGGATGGCTCTTTCTGCAACACTTTTGTCCAACGATCCTTGGGCTCCTGTGTTGTCATTTACGATTCTCTTTGCCGTTTTGACAGCAAGCTCTGCCCGACAATTGGATTGTGGGTAACCAGCAGATGATAACCTGTGTTTAACAGCCCAGTCTTGTAAAAATTGCTTGAATGTAAGGGATGTGAAGGGTGGCCCACCATCAGTGCTGAGTTCCTTGGGAGCACCGTAGGCTTGAAATATGTCTCGGCAAATTGAAATAATCCTTGACGTATTAGCTTCTCCGTGGCTCAAGTGGTATAGATTTAGCCAGCCTGTTAACCTGTCAGCGCATGCTAAGTAACCATGGTTCCCAACATGGAAGATGTCCATGACGATTTGCTGAAATGGCCAATCAGGAGATGGTGTCAAATTCATTGGCTCTTTTGGTTGACTTGGGGCAATTTTTGAGCAGAACGTACAACCTGCTCTAATGTTACGTATTGAAGCATTCTTCCCGGGCCAATAAACGGATTCATTGGCATGTGCCTTCATGCCAACTTCGCCTTGGTGTGCAGAATGTAGGCTATGTAAGACTTTTGCACGTTGAGAGGTAGGGAAAACGATTCTTTGATCTAATAGCATTAATCCATCGTCAACACTTAGGCGGTGCCTCACTTCCCAGTATTCGCGGATTTCGGGTTCAGTGAGGCTGCGCGTCCTCTGGAATCTATTTCGTATTACTTCAATTAATTTTTTGTATTGTGGGTCGCTATGTCCCGCCGCACAGATAACGTCTGGTGAGATGAGCTCCAGGTTGTCATAAGCACTTTCTGAATATGGGGCTCACTACCAACAACCTCATTCCATCAAGAAAAGTCGTCCGAGCTGTGGGAGGCTTTACACTCAGACATGTCAGGGTTGGCTCCCCGTGGAATTCATCGTCCAAGGAAGAACAACTAAACAAGCCCTATACATTGCAACATAAATAGCTCTCTTTCTAAAGGTTGGATTATTATTCACTTAGCTTGCTCCACAACTGAGTGTTTATCTCTACCACGTGATTTTTCTACAATCACCACCTCTAGTAATTATGTCTACACAAACATGCCTATGCACAAAAGCTGAGTATCATCTACCATATATTCAATTGTGAAAGCAGAATAACATATTTTTATTACTTCAAAGCTCCCAAGAAAATTAAATTTTGTTATTAAATAACCTATAGAGGTTGATATGCTGCTAAACAAAATCAACCAACCAACCAACCAATGTCTGGAAAAATGAAAAAAAATACCATGAAAATAGTTTCTACATAAATTTATGGAAATGAATATTGTTAAGTGTTTAAAATTTTCTATTTTTACTCAACACAGAAAAAAAAAACCTTAGTGGCTTTTTGAACTGACACAAAAAAAAATTGCTGACCTCCTACAAAAGAGCTTTAATAGTTCAAGGTTCTTGGATTGAACAAGAAACCCTTCCTACAAATAATTTGATGTTTAATCAGAATTTGAGATGTGTGTTAAAAAAATAATAATAATAACGGTTAACATTGTGTACTGCATTTATTGCATTCCCTGTTTTACTAAATTAGGTATTACTGTAATAATACAAATATATAGTCAATAATATATTCCTACAGTAATAGCAGACTGTAGCAATGATGAGGCTAAAGCAACACACTGTTTGTGCCTTTCAACACAACCCTGAAACATCTGTTAGGATTTGTCAACATGCCATGTGTGGAGACAGCTTGTTGCAGCAAATACACGTTGTTTCTGATATGAATAAGTATAACATTTTGCTAAACTATTGAAATTCTAATTAATAATAACCTCAGATATTTAATAGACCAAAAATATGATAATTTGTTGTGATAGAAAGAAAGATGACATTGTAAAGTCGGTGACTTAGACTTGCTAGTACAGTAAGTTATTAAATCCTCAGGTATTTTTTTTTCCAAAAAATAGCTAGCTAGTTATGGTGTGCATCTTACCACTTGTAGCATCTTAACATGTGGGAAATACAATATTTATAAGTATTTGTAGTTAAACTTTAATACAGCAATAAACTGATAAAATTGAATTCTTTCCCATTGGCTTGTGAAACAAATATGCTGATGACTGTATAACAAGATGATCCTTATACGAACCTTCATGACTGTATAACCAAAAATTATCTATATTAGAATAATTTTTTTTAAAGTTCTTTTATTATTGTTTATTATTAATGTAACCCATTGTGTTATAAGCCAAGGTTATGTTTCTTGTTAATAAATACATGACAAAACTGTGCTTTATATATTAGGCTTTATTTTGGTAGCTGTTGGTGATTGTGCTAGCACAAAGTCACAAGTCATCATGACTGAGGGTTTGAGCATGCTGGCTTTGTTCAAACCGTTGATCACACTAGATAATGCGCTCTCTCCCAGAAACTGTAACTAAGGTTCACCCGGCATAGTTGCAGTATAAACCACAGGTGGGCTATGTGGGTGTTGAACAAACACAAATGTGTTTGAGCAAGCGTCTGCAGCAGGGATTGGCTAGCCACTCTAGTAGACAGGAATCCTCGCATACGAGCAACCAGCCATTCTTATTTATTTTGGTTAATAAAATTTTGGTAAAATAAGATTTATTAAACTACAAAGAATGGCACTAATATGCATTTTTTTGTTTGTTTGTTTTGTGCACTGGTATACTAGGTTGATACAAAAGTTCTTGTATTACAAGCTTTAATTAATAGTTCAAACAATTTATATGTGTTTTATAAGTGTGTTTATTCATTAAAATATATCCCATAATATTCTAACCTCTGTTGCTATCATTGTGCCAGAAGCTCAATTCCATGCTTATGTCATTTGGCTGGTTTAGAGGTGAAAAATACTTCCTGTACCTGTTTTCAACCCCAACAATATTATTGACCATCCATCTGTATAGAAAATGAACCATGACTCAGAAAAAGGTGATAATCTGATGGTGCAAAGTTTGGACTGTTGGCAGGTGGAAGTAGCACTTCCCGACCCTCAAATTCCTGCTTGGTCACATTGACAGTGTGTACTGTAGCCAGTAGCTTGCGGAAGGGTGGGGGGGCAGAGTGTGTGACAGCCTCAGACATCCAATCAAAGAGTGAAATAAAAAATTTAGTTTTTGAAATTTGAAATTGTCTCTATTGTACAAGTGCGCACAAGCTAGTGTGAATGTCAATCCATGTTTTGATAAGTGAGACCAGAGTAAGACACTCTACTTGAGTCTTAGGGGCATACAATCAAGGATTTGGTTCCAGGCATCATCAAACCTCTGCATGTCAGTGACTGGAGCATTATCATGCTGTAGGAGTGCACACCTTCAATTGATCAATACCTGATGGCAGGCTTTCAAAGCATCACCGCATGAGCATCTAGGATAAGCTCAAAGTGCAATGCCTTTTCATGAAATTCCACCAAACACTTCTGGCCTTCTGTTCCAACCACCCTTGTTTGACACCACAATTTTTCTTATGAAAATAGATCCATTTTTCATCTCCAGTTACAATTTGACATCAAAAACGGGCATCTTGAGGATTTACCAGCAACTGTTTGTAAATGTTTGCACATCGTTGAGCCTAGTCATTAATCAGTTCATGTGGAAATTCTCAACAGAATCTGTTCACAACATATAAAGTGCCACATGATGTATGTGTGTTATTTTCTCAAAAGCAGCTCTACAAATCAAGATATAAATAACCAAGCAGTTTTGTTGCATAGTCATATTGCTTTAAATGCAACATACCACAAGAAAAATCAGCAAGAAAAGGATTATTAATGGTCAGGAAAAAATGCAAGTGTTACTGATAGAATAGGACTATTATATGTATAATATACTGTACTAAATGTACACACTTCCTTGAAGCCTATTCTTGTTATTGGTTTTGCAGTTGTTAAATGAAATGAATCGGTTGAAAGACTCCACTAGCAAATTGCAGCAAAATGGTGAAGAGACGTGGGGCATCCTTACAGATCTTTCAGGACAGGTAACCTTTTACAGTTTTATATTTTGTTAATTTTATTACTTTGATTGTTGATCTCTATTATTAAAGACTTGTTCTGTTGTAGCAGATCATAATTTAAAAATCAACTGTATAAATATGACTCTTTGGTTGCCTACTGTTGTCCAATGGCTAGCAAGCTTGTCTCAGACCAATTACCACCATTTGAGCAAATAAATGGTTGGTCATTAGAGATAGCAGATAGGATGGTAGAAAATATAAGATATTTGAATTGTGCATTTTTACATTTTTTCATCATGTTATGTAACTTGAAGAGAAAACAATGACATAATCAAGATGTTGCCATTCCACGTTACTCCAAACAAAAGGTTAGGAAGGAAATACTGGAAAGAGTGATGACAGCTACTGGACCTGAGAAACCTGTTTCCTGAAAAAAATTTTTAGAGGAAGATTTTATAAATTTCAACTGAAAACATTGCTGGCTGCTCTGTCAGTGAATGCCAAATGTTTCCATGGCGAGAAATGGCTAATCTTACTATTACACTCACCAAGCCATTCACCATATTAGTTAAGTCATCTTCATGGGCTTATGCCAACTAATATCCTTCTTCAGTTGTGAAGCAGTTCAGTCTTGTTCCATTATCTAACAAACAGTTGCAAAATCAATTTCATTCAATTCTAACTTTGGTTTGGGCAAGGCATGTCACTGAAAAATATCTTTGCGGTATAACTTTCAACATCCTGAAGATGGGCCACATAAATTTCAAACTTATATATTTCAACCAACAGCAGGACTAGCTTCTCACTCAGTAAATAACAAAAGTTTCCTTATAAGGAAGTGGCTAATACTGCCATTACCATATGTGAAAAAACACCATCTAATATTTAAAAATAAGTTATCATTCAAAAATTGATTTATATTGTGTTATTTCAATGATGACATCAAAATCAGTTACTAGCAGAAATACCTCCCATATAATTATCTAGACGAAGACACCATTGCGACTAATGTCTTACCATTATGTAAGACTTGTTTCTGACGCACATTGTATTATACTGTAGCTTTTCTGCAAAATTATATATTGGGTTACATAGTTTCACACCTGAACTTTTTAGTCAACATATACTTTTTTTTTTTTTTTTTTTTTTTCAATTCTTAAGGAATTGAATATTCCAGAGATGTTTCGAGTGAGGAAGTCCCCACGGTCACCAACCAAACGAGAAACACATCCAAAATCTCCTCCTGCCCCAGCAATTCAACAGTAAGTATAGAGTTTATATTTTACATACACCTTTAAATCTCCCTAAATTTCATTGGAAAAACTTCAGTGTTGATATTTTTGGAAATGTAATCGGCATTATATGCAAATCTTCTGTTTTCTTGGAGTGGACAATAATAATGAACCAACATCATTATCAGACATGCTGTGGACTACTCACAACTTTTCAAATACCTTTAGAATTGACGTAGTCTACAATGCCACATTATGCATCACATAGTTACTTCTACAATGTGGTGTGTATCAATTTACTTTATGGTGGAACACCTGATTGAGTAGACATCCCTGTTTATGCCTACCAACATGTGCATTCAAGAGTCTTAAGAAAGAAAATGTGCCTTCTGGCAGGGTTTGAACCTGTGTGTCCCTTGTATCACTGTTAAACCTGGCATGCTTTTAAACTGCTCAGCAGTACAGTCTTGTTCCTTCAGCCAAGTTGTGTGGATTAGGCCCACATGTAATCAACAAAGAGAAAATGTCATCAAACAGTTGCAAACTCAATTTTATTCCATTCCAACTTCAGTTTGGGCAAGGCATGTCACTGAAAGTTATATCTTTGAGATATAACATTCAACATCCTGAAGATGGGTCACAATTTGACAATCAGAGACTGTATAGAAGCTATGTATACAGCTTGGCTGAGAATTTAACAATTTGATACCCCACCAAAAATAGAGACTAAATTAGAATTTGTGCTGAATTCAGACTGATTAGATTTGGGAAAATCAAGTTTCTTTTCTAGAACTTCCAGACAATTTTCCATCTTGCACATTTATAAATCTACCATTTGTCTGTGCATTGAATACTGCTGCCATATCTGGTCTGGTGCTCCTGCTATATATCTAGAGGTTCTTGACAAAATTCAAAGAAAAGTCTGTAATATAATTGATCCTGACCTGGCATCAGTCACTTTTCCATTGCTTTGATGCAGCTTCCTCTTGTGTTTTCTTTAAATATTTTCATGGCAATTGTTCTAATGTGTTCCCATCCTCAGTTCCTCAACTGCTACTAGATTGGCAACTAGGTTTGACCATTTTACTAGCTAGATGTAACCATATGTTCTATCCTAATAGCTTTTTTCTTGCACTTCTTACATGTGGAACTATCTTCCAATTTCTTACTTCCCTTACACTTCTTACATAGTGGAACTATCTTCCAATTTCTTATTTTCTTACATCTATCTTCCAATTTCTTGCTTCCTTACTTCTTACATAGTGGAACTATCTTCCCTTACACTTCTCTTGGAACTTTCCACTTTACACTTCTTCTTACATAGTGGAACTATCTTCCAATTTCTTACTTCCCTTACACTTCTTACATAGTGGAACTATCTTCCAATTTCTTCTTCAAGAATTTAAATGCAATGTTAATTCCCATTGTCTGTCTTTCTTAACCCTGTTCTTTTATTGCACTTTCTCCTCTTATTCTTATTCATTCTCAGTAAGCCCTTGCATCCTAGAGGCATTATCATATTACCTGTGGTGAAATGATTAAAAAAAACAAAATAAAAAAACAAAAACAAAGAGACCTTGATTTGCAGTGTTTGTTTGAGGGATTAGTGCTCGCACAGAGGCCAGCGCAACCAATGGTTGCAGGGCTGAGGGGAATTTTTGTTCCTGTGCCAGGTGTACGCGCTCTGGTCCCCACCTAAAAATAGACCTTGTGTCACATCTCCTCCTAGTGGGCGGACAGTAAATACTGTGTTTGTGTGGGACTAGGTTCGACTGGCTCTTGTGATCCCAGATGAAAGGAACATGATTTTATTTCCAATCCCAGTTGGTTTGTCTCCCTTTTTTAATTAATTGATAATTACTGGTACTTATCTTTAAGTGCCTTTGTGCTGTCTTTGGCTGATTCAAAAAGGTGTGGCTCACATTAGAGGTTGGTTCCCTCTGCCTTTGGAAACTCAAAGCAACATGTATTTTTTACTGTATATCATAACATGCTTTTACTCGCATGATCACAGTAATATAAAATTTATTAATTTATGATTTTCAACTCTTAATACTTGTAACTTTGAACTTCTTGAAATTTTGCTCTTTTTGACATTGGCACTAATTTAACTTTGCTCCCACCCCCACTAATCTTCCTTACTAATTCCTTTTGCTAATCACTTCCATTGTTCAAGGCTATTCTGCCACCACCCACCTATAGTGCCCCACTGTACTTTTAACACCAAATACTTCAAAATATCCATTGTTTTGCTAACTCTGTGAACAGGTATATTGTACTACAACAGTAGTACAGTTTTGTTGTAGCTTCCCTTGCCACTTTTTCTTTCAAGTTATGACATACAAATAAAATGACATAGAACAATAGGGTGGAATGCATTTAACAAAATTAGATATAAGAACATCATCTTGTCAGTATACTTAAAATGTAAAGTGTATAATAACTGTATGTCAGTGACATATGAATATCAGAGAACTGAAAAATAATCATGTAGAAAACTGATAGAAAGAATTCAACACAGACCAGAGAACAGATCAAAATCAGTAACAGCAAACATTTAGGTGGGTAGGACACATAGCAAAAAGAAAAGATAACAGATGGAGTAAAAGGTTGCTTAATTTATGCCGTTTCAAGTTAAGCAATGTTGAGCCTGGTAGGAGAGCTGGTTTAGTCACTGAACACTTGACCACTCAAGTTTTGAATTCACAATTGTCCTTCTCATAGACTGTCACTCAAAGCTATAGGACTCTGTCTGTCCTAAGCTTACAGCCATATCATGTTAAAACACTGGTTCCCATATGATCACTGAAGTTAAGAAGTCAAGACTGGTCAGTAACTAGATGGGTGACCACTTGCGAATACCAGGTGCTGTGAGCTTTGAATGTGCAAGTGGTGTAGTAGATGAATGGTTGGAATTGTTAATCGGAGAGCTGAGTTCTAATTTCAGTTGAGTTCGTTATATTAACTTATGTGCAAATACCCTTTGGAAATGTATGAATCCACCTTTTCTCCCTGCCAGCTATGAATTAATTTGTAAGACTTGTATCACTAAAACCATTATCTCCAAAATAAAAATCATAAAATAAAATTGCATACAAATTGAGATTTTCACCTTAAATAGCCCATAGAGGTTGATAATATGCTGCTAAACAACTAACCGACCAGTTTGTTCTGCTATTCAACTCATAGCTGCTGCTTCTATGTTGAGATAACTCTATACCTCCGACAAGTTGTTACCAGGTCAAAAAAGAATAAGAAAAAAAAACATAAAAGGACACAAAATTTTTCAAAAATGGCAAAAAAGTATTTTTTAGAGTACATAAAAATGGGAAAGAAATGTGGGAAGATGGCATAAGGTCATGAATTAGAAAAATGGTATAAATGGTAAAAGGAAAAAAATAGTATCGCAAAAGGGAATTTGTATGTAAGTGAATGTAATGAACTGTTACTTTTAAGTTGTAATTTTTTCTTAACTGACTAAATCTTAAGATCAAGACACTAGGTGGTTAATGTCATCTCAGCTGGTCAGGGAGGGCAACATCTCAAATCTTCTGTAACACTCCTGTTTTTGCAATCTTCATACAATGATGATTTGTCCTTTGTGGAAGTATCTCCTGTAATGTTTTTTTTTTTTTTTTTTTTTTTTTTATGACATTTAATTTTACTCTGGTTGGCAAGATATTATTGGCAACATTTATTTGTAACAGGGATATCCAGCATCTGGTTGTGTGTTTCCACATTCACCAGTTTTGATATTTATATATATATATATATATATATATATATATATATATATATATATATATATATATATATATATATAAAAACATTTATCAATATAACATATTTCACTTTTATCAAAGTTTCGTCAGACGTGAAATATACTAGATTGATAAACATTTTCCTATTTGTTCTTTATCTTATCATCCTGTTGGATTCCAATACATATTTGATCCTTAACTCTTCTCTCTCTGTATGTATGTGTATATATATATATATATATATATAAGGCTCAAACACTAATATTCCATGGTTATAATTTATTACTGAATTGGAATCATGATCCAATTCATCAGACCTACAAATTCAGAAAGAGTATAGGTCTGATGAATTAGATTGTGATTACGATTCCAATGTAATAAATTATAACCATGGAATATTAGTGTTTTTTTTTTTATATATATATATATATATATATATATATATATATATATATATATATATATAACAAAAGTACAAAGCTGCTCTAAAACAATGATTGACAATTTGCTTGTAAAAGAAGAAATTCCTGCTTAAAAAATGAAGCTCACTCAATTTGGCCACATTTTATTACTTTAACAGAATCAGCCTTCTTTTTCTTTTTTTCCCTTTCCTTTCTGGAATTTTCGTCTCAAACTGTGTTTACCTCCTTGAACTAATTGTCTCAAACTGTGTTTACCTCCTTGAACTAATTGTCTTTTTTATTAACCTGAGTAATTTTCTTACTATCTATTAGATATAACTTGTTAATTGGCAGTTGCGGAATCTGTAAAAAGTCAACTGACCAACATCTCTTGGCCAAATGTGACTCCTGCAGCAAACACTATCATTTGGGCTGTCTTGACCCTCCCCTGTCACGGATGCCTAAGAAGACCAAACTGCAAGGATGGTAAGTAAGCGTTTGTCACCTGATCAACCTGTTATATCAGTGTTTTGATCAATTACGCCTACAATGTCAAAAACGAGACAGAAAACAAAACCTTGTGCTATATTTTCTAAATCCTTTTGCTATGCAAATTAACCTTTGACCTCTTGCTAAGGTAGATGCACACTATTATTTTTTTGCTTATTTGTATGTATGACTATTAAAATTTTCTATGCTGGGTAGTCTGACCTCCAACCTTTACTAGCTGGAATCGGTTATCCTTTCTGACTACATGTGTTTCTGAATTTCTTGGATGAGGGGGTTATCATTATTTTACATTGAAACTAATGCCCTCATCTTTGTTGTTGTTATAACATTTCAGTCATTGTGCCCTCTGGCCTTCTTCAGGAGTCTGTTGATCCAAGAAGCCTTCAATGAATTTTGAACTGAATTCCTTTATTTGATCTATGGGTTTAGGTTGTTCTCATTATCCTGTCCATGTCTAGGGATATCTCCCTGCCTTAATTTTTTTTAAAGTACTGCTGACTTATTGCTGTTTCCACAGAGTCTAAGTCTGTATTATCCAACCCTATCAGTATTACTCAGTTTTGGGTAGACTTGGACTCAATGGAAACAGGGCAAGCAATAACTGAGCAGTATTTTTTTTTAAATTGAGAGGTAGGGAGAGTGGAATGAGAACCATCTATCCCTGTAAGTTAAATGATAAATTCAGGTAAAAATTCCCTGAATGGGACTCCTACTGTGACAGACACTTGTAGAAGGCTGAGGGCACAATGTCTGAAACATTGTGATGCCAACAAAGAAGAGGACATTAGTCCAAATGTAGATAATCTACATGTCTATACTATTATTCTGCTTGTTAATATTGGTTACATGGCTTTTATTAATTTTTTTCGACTAGCTTTTCTTTCATCTTAATTTCAGTTGTTTCTTAATGCAATTCTATGACTGTGAGACAGGATAAAAAAATAAAGTCTCCAGCAACACTTGAACTGGTCTTTTTCCTTGGGAAACCAATTATAACATAACAGCTGCCTTACAGATTAGGCCATGAAGGTAGCTGATTGCAGAATTTCAAATTTAATGATATAGCTGTCATTCTCTTTCTCTGAATGCCTCTTTCACACCATCTTTAAATTTTTACATACTCGTAATATCAGTAGCAATATTATCTTGAGTTTTATAAGATCAAAGATGATATTGGTACATGATGGTGGTTGTTATTGTTTTCATCTTTAAATGACCTGTCTTCAGTATCATTTTCCTCTACACATAGAATTTTTTCATCTAAAGATTCAAGAGGTGTGTGTAAATGTTCTTAGAACCCTCATCTTTTAAGATATAGAATGAATATATAGTAGAGTTTTTTTGGCAATGGTTAACTTTCATACATGCAAAAAAAACAAAAAAAAACAGTGTGTCATAAGTATGATTATTTCTCTTGGTACTGCTATTACAATTGACTTCCTCAGCAATGTTTATTGTTTTAAAAAGCAATGATCAGAATCTTAATAAAGCCCAGACATATGAAAGTGGATTTATACATTTTCTCTATTCTAAAGAATTAACAAAGATGCTAAACACTATTTCTTTATTAGATTGAATAAAAATCTTGTTTTCATAGTTATTTATAAAATGGCAAATAATAAATATTGCATTGTAGTTGGTTTATATATTTTGATAAATTTGAAATTTCTTTATAAATTTTTTAAGAAAAAGATTTCTTTTCAAATTTTTTCTTTATAAAATAGTAAATAAATCTTTACAAAAGGTAAATGATAAATATCACATTGTACTTGGTTCACATGTTTTTATAATCAATGTTGAGCCTTGTCAGTGCCCAGATGGGTGAGCATTTGAAATGCCAGATGCTGTAAGCTTGGATGTGCAAGTGGTGTAATGGACTTGGACCTTGGAATTGTTAATCAGAGAGCCAAGTTCTAATTTCAGTTGGGTTTGTTATATTCACTTAGGCTCAAATACTGTTAGAAAAAATATGAATCCACTTTTTCTCCCACCAGCTATGGGTTAATTAGTAAGACTTGTATCACTAAATCATTGTCAGAATTTTTTTTGGAGATGATAATCTAAAAATATTTTCTGGCTTTACATAACCAACAAAGGGTTGATAAGCTGTAGAAAATGAATCGATCAATATCTTTCTCTTGCTATCTTTCTATGTGCACACACACACACACACACATATATATATATATAGGTGTCGTCGACCGATGAGAGAAATTCAAAAAGACAGAATAATAATATTTATTATATATTATTAAGCCATTAGACAAAATAGAAGCAAGAGAAAAATATTAAAAATCAGAATTTTTGGCAATTCAGTCTTTGGTGGTCAGAATGGAGTGACCTTTTTCCAGGGTGCATGCCTGGGCTATGGTATATGGAGGCCATGATGACAAGTCACAAAGGAATACAGGGCATTATATTTAGGGGCAACTTGGCTGCAGGAATTGCTGGAAGGTTGTCCATGTTAATAGCCAACTGCCTTTGGGGCTCCACACCAGATTTTCTGTCTGTATTTTACTTCCATAGCATTTTCTGTGTTTGGATATGACCACAAGTTAGCTGAGGTTTAAAAATCAGGATTTTCCTTTCCCGAGACAAACTGCTTTCCCAGGCTGACCAGATCTCTCTACCTAAAGCAGCTGGTTATGAGGCACCAGTAGTCTGCCTTTGCTCCTTCTCTAGCTTGGTGCTGGACTTAGTTGTCAGAGGCTATTTGAGACACATGCCATGAAAGCATTTTGTAAACAGTGCGAGCTTGTCTCCACTATTACACCCCTCCCCAGGTTATGAAACATATATAAACATTACATACATTATGTTTTCAAATTGGTTTTCTAGGTCCTTCTAAAGTTTACTTCAACTCTAATATTTCTAACATCTCCACCCAAACTCTGAAATTTTATTTACTATTTATTTATTTTTTCCTCAATAGGTGTTGATAGGTTCACCTATCTGGTTCATACTCCCCATCAGTCTTTTGAACAGGAGTAGAGGTTTATCACTTGTTTCCTTTTTAGGATTGGCTTTCCAGTTCCTTCTGGAGTTTTTTTTTTATTCTCTTTCACTCTCTTGTGTCTTAGTGGTATTATCACCTTGCTTGGGGAGAATTGATTAAAGAAAAAAAATTTATGGTATCTTGATTTTGTTTTTTTTTGTTTGTTTTAGGCAATGTTCAGAATGTGCCAGTTCCAGTAGTGATGTGTCAGAAGAGACAGGTGTTGATGTAGATGCTCCACGCAAACTACGAGAAAAGATTAAAGAACCAATCAAGTTTGAGCAGTTACAATCATTAGACATAAAATCGGTAAGCATGATTTCTTTTAAAACACTCTTTTCTGTACACACACAAAACAAAAACTTTGAAATGCTTTGTGTTTTGTTTAGTAAAGCAGAACTTTTTTTTTTTTCTATAAAATCATTTTTAAAGAATTAATTTTTTTATTTTACCCTAATGATCTGTATTTCTCACCATATAGCATACAATTGGCTAGGAATATTTAAGAAATTAAACTCTAGTTAAAGTATGTGTTGAATTGTTTTTTGTTTTTTTTACTTATTTTTTTTTTTTTTATATATTAATTTGTATTTGTAATTTAATCATTTATAATATGTATTACATTCTGGGCTCATCAAAGGACTAGTGTGTCACCTGGGTGTTTGTATTAGGCTAGTACTGTTAATTTCTTCTCAGAATTTTTGCCCAAACTCGTCCATTAGAGTATAAGTCACAGAATTTTTTTTTTTTTTTATGTGCACCATATATGGTGAGAAACACAGTAATTCATTTGCTTGTATAGTTACTTTTTATACAAATCATTATCCCGCATGAAACTTAATATTAATTTTATCAACTTTTGAACAAAGACATGAGGGCATTTTGCCAAAAGATCACATTTATTAAGGAATAAACCTGTGAGCTTTAGCTATTGTTCTATGACGATTCCTTTTGGTCACAGATTGCCATTTAAGATGGCATGTAGATATATAAAATATAACCAAATTGAATGGCTACTGTCTTGTACAGTTCTAGATCATCCTTCAGCAATATGGAGCACCTATAAACCTTCTGGAATGTCAGTAAGTGTAATATCTGTTGTCATTTCTATAATGTATAGGCAAGTCTCCCTATCTTAGAATATCTTATAAAAATTAGTTTTTATTTATTTTATTATCTATTTGTAAATGATCAGTTAAAAAACCTTGAGCCAGTTAGGATGTGAAGTTGAATGTAATTGTAAAAGACCTAATTGTAGATACTTTATTTTACAGTAGATTTTGTTACTATTTCAGTTACTATTACATCTTCACTGGAAGTGACTGCCATTGCTTATTTTATCAAAGTACATACTTGTTAATGTTTAATAAATTAATAACAGATACAAAATGATGGTGGATATAATTATAAGTATAAAATTTATTGCCTATAACTTTAGGAAGAACCATTAGCATCCCAAGATTTATTTACATTATTTGAACCGTTGTCCTCATCTTTATTGTCATATTCATGATGTTTCAGCTGCTGTATGACCCAGCCTTCTTCAGGTGAAATATAGATATATTCCAAGATTTTTTTCAACCAATTGAATTCATTCTTTGTGTTGTTTTGGCCAATCCATTCTACAGGCTTCTGGTGTATAATCTGTAATAGAGACTTATTTTTGCAACATAACACAGCAAGAAGAAAACATTAATTAATAAGGCAACTGGTTTCATTCATTCCAAAAATGCAAAACACACAACTGATATCCTTCATTATGTAACTTTGTTGTTTTTTAAAACAGGAAAATAGAAAGATGATTACTAAAGTCCTTAACTTGTCCAGCAGGTATATCATATATAGCTAGAAAGTACTCCTTAGCTCACCCATCCACAAAATGTCATTCAGAACTTTTTGGAGATATTTTGCAGACACAGTCACAAGTGAATGCATAAGGTTTACCAAATTGACAAAGGCAAAACGTACAGCTGAATGAATTCAAAAGTTTTCAAACTTCCTTATAAGAAGTGTAACAAATTCCAGGCAAGTGTGAAAAAGAATATTCAGGAGAAACCAACCATTGCTTTAAAGCCAGGCTCAAGGAATATAAGAAAACTGTATGCAAATGGGTAATAGTAATTTTAACTGTTTCCCTATAAGGAAACTTTTGGAATTCATTGACCAAGCAGCTAGTTCTACTTTCATTTGAAATTTGTAAAATCATTATATTAAAACGATTTTTCAAGACAATAAGTTTCTAAAGTCCAGTGTTGATGGAGGTTTCTTTCCTAATTTTTTGTTTGAAGTTGTGTGGAATATCAACATCTTGATAATATCATTATTTTCTCTTAGTTACATGTGCTATTTACTTCAGTAGTTGTATACAGCTGACAGTTTAGGTATTTCTGAATGAGTTTGGCACCATGCATGGCATCCATATGAAAGTCAAGATCTGACAAGAGTATTTAAGAACACAGCTTGAGTTTTTAGTTTAATCTTTTGGCCTTTTAGCAATTTCCAGTGTTGGGCTAAACTACTACCAGCACATGTTCAGTTTCCTTATCTCCTATACTAAAGAAGTAAAACAAATCTGATATGGCAAATTATATCCAGAGAAAAAGGAGAGCACATATTACTCTCTTTGGGATAGGGTCCAGATGAACATCAGCAACAGGTAGAATCACCTGAGTTAAATAGATAATCATCCTACTATAATTGTGCTTATGCCCTGCCAGTACCTCATAAATAATGGACTATTCCATTTTAATTGCATGAAAAAAAGAGGGGAAAAGGTATTACTTGGTTCCAGTGCAAAAATGAAAGAAAGAAGTGGAAGGAGAGAATCGGATTAATCTGATAAGAACAGATACTACACTTTGATCTTAGCCAAAAAGCCGAGAAGCGATTATATCTTTTTACCGCTCCCCACTGGCAGGATGTGATACAAGGTCAGTTTAATGTGAGGAGCCCAAGTACATGCACCTGGGCCAGGCCCCAAAATAGACCAGCCCCTCACAATCGTTGATTGTGCTGGCATCTGTATTACTACCATTCCCCTCTTTTTAGTACAGTGAGGGAGGTGCTGCTGTGGGTAGCTATTTTCAGAGACCAGGAACCTTTCCATAATATTTCTAGTTGAGCTCTGTCCCCAGAGAAACAATTGGGAGATGAAATGTAGTTATCTGCCTGAGGGCAGATACAACACTTTCATCCCAGCCGAGAAGTCATGGAGACCACAATAAACGTGCTATTTTTCAGGTGCACAGTATTGAACAACCAAACCAAGTAAGGTAATTGCCAAAAATCCAGTGAGCACAAATAAAATATCATCTGCTGAATTATTTTAAAATTATTATTAAGAGAAATGTTCATAAGACAGGGATTTGGCTAGTGAATAGTATTATCTGTTTGGCTAACATTGTTGGAATGAACTGACCAGATTGATATGTGAGCTGACATTTTCTATTCACCATCTTGTGCTGTAAAAAGAGATCTTTCATTATACATTACATATCTGAAGATGGCTGTAGAATGAATTGGTAATATCATAGTACCAGTATGTGCAACAAAGTGAGTTGAATTGTCCAAATAAATCATAAAATATAAATTAAATAATTTAAAGAAATTAGGAGCTAATGAATAAAATGCCCAGAAAAGATGGAGCAGAATTATCTTGATTCTAGATTCCAGGAGGCCTGAAAGTTGTGCTTTAAAATTCAATGAATTGCTGTTATTGAAATATTCATCACTTACAGCACATTCAATAGAAAGGAAATAAATGTCTGTATATTAAATTATTTGATTCATTTCCTTTGAGAAATTTCAATTTTCTTTAAAACTGAAGGGGATTATGTTCCTTGTACCATTTCTGAAGCAATTAATGAATATTTTAAAATAAGAGCTAAGGGAGATAAATCTGATAAAAAATTTCATCTTGTTTTCATAATAAAAACATAACTCATGATTTTTACAGTTTGCTTGCTTATTTGTTTGTTTTTTCTTTCTTTTTTTTTTTTCATTTTGTACACTATATTTTATTGGACTGAAAGATATGTAACCTATTTTACAGGGTGGAGTGGGGAGTTCTCTAAAAATAATTTCCTCTCCATCTTTAAAGAACATCAATTCATTTTAACAAATTTTTTTTTTACTCCTTTTGATGTCCGAAGAGGTGCTGAAAATTTCATAGCCTGACCCATTTCCAAAAATGTGACCAAGCTACCAAAAATCAGAATTTGTTTTGTAATTTCATCTTGGTCTTGGTTCAACAGAGAACTTTCAGCACCCCCCTCCCCTTGTGAGAATTACAACCAATAATTGTGTTTGTTTGTCTGTGTAGGTAACCAGTGACTGCCATTATTGTTTTCACTCTCTCAACTTGAAAATTCATTAGTTTTATTTTCGACTGTTAAGAGAAACATAATATTGAAATCTTTAATGAGAAGCGTCAATTCTATAGACTGCTAGGTTATTCTCTATAAAATTCCTGCAGGCAAATATATGTAGAGATATTGTTCCAAAAAAATCTTTACAAAACTTAGTTCACCAAAATTTCTCTCAGATGTATGACGATATTTATAACACTTAGTTTACCCTCTCTGCCCCAATTTTTTAACAGTATCTTTACTAAATAAAAATTGTTACTTTAGAAACGCAGTATCATTCACTTCCAATTTCATAAAAATGATCTTAAACAATTTTGAGCTATTCACAAATTTATTAAGTTTGTAAAAAGTCCACTAATATTGTGATAAAATTTACACATAATACCATTATTTATTTTTTTATTATTAACCACCAAGGCTACCCAGTGTTTTCCCGGGAGAAAATGGCTTTTCTGATCAGCGCCCCAAGTTAACTTTTGGTGTGTAGTTTTATTTTGTTTGATCAATTTTGAATACTCCCATCCCAAAGGAGTAGAAGTGTGCACTGATGCTGACACTTACACATACATTTTTACCTATAATGTCTTTATGAAAGTACATGAATCAATTAAGATTAAATGGCTACAAGTTAGAACCTAATTATCTTCCCCTTTTTACCTGAAGAAAAAAATTTAATTTTTTGCTAAAAGAGAGAGACACCCCTGTTTAGTATTAAGTTTCAAAGGTGGGCTCTGTTATCAGTAATTTGTACAACATATGAATGCTGTAGGCAATTTAAAAATGTATAAATATTCAATTGCAGTGAAAAAAAAGTTAATCTTTTATTTTACAAATTATTTTGCCAACTATTTATAAAATTTTCTGAAAAATGATCCCTTTAGATATTTTGAAGGTTTTTAAATAGTTTTAATTATCATTATCTCCCTTTTCCTAGTGATAGAT